CCTGTATTTAAAATGAACATTTACCACAAATTAAAGTTATCTTATATTATTAGATATATTATTATAAAACATGTTTTAGTTAAGGAGTTATTGATACTTCAAGTGCAAAATGATGATATAAAACCATGATAAAAATATACTTTTAAGTACTAATCACTAGGCGATCATCTATTTTAGATTTTCATGAGCTAACACCAACATCTTTAGGAGAGGAAGTTGGAGATGGTGTCTCAAACACATTAGCAAATTTATCATCACCAACTTGTTATTCGTCTTCTTTATCATGCTCTTCCTTACCAACTTGATCTTTAGGAACCAATGCACCGTCTTCATTTAAGACAAATATCATCTTTGTTAAGGTCCTATTATTTATCTCCAAATATTTGGAATATGGTTTTTAAAAAGAGACAAAAAACTTATCCAATTGAACCTGAGTTAGCGTGGTAGATATTTAATATAAGTAATAAAGAGAGTCAAATCGGGCTAATTTACAAAACTAATGACTAAAGTCATGAAATAAGAATAATATAATAGAAAAGAAATTGAAAAAATTAAGTTACAAAGTCGATCATTAAAAAAATTAATAACAAATGATGAAATTAGAAAAGAAAATATTCCAAAAAAATAAGGTGTTGACTAACGTTAACTTTTTAAACTTGTGATTCGGGTCATTAAACTAGAAACACCATACATAGAAAAACCACGAAGCCGATCCCTAACAAATCAAATGCTTTGGGATAAAATTAAAAATAAAAACAATTACACAAAAGGATTTGAAATAAAAGAAAAGGTAATTAAAATATTAAGGGTGAAAATTGAAATAAAAATAAATTAGAGGGAAAACCAAAATTTTCTATTGGAGAGTTAAATTGAAAAGAAAATTAACTTTAACAAAAGGAAAAAAAATCAATCAATGAGAACAAAATTAGAAAAAATAATAAATCATAAACTTAGATTGAAAGATGAAAATGAAAACCAATGAAACTATTACAAAAAGGCCAAGGTAAAAAATTATAACTCATAATAATAAGGACTATTACAAAAAGGCCAAGGAAAAAAATTATAACTCATAATAATAAGGACCGAATTGAAAAAATAATATATGAAATATAACAAATAAAGGACTAAATTAAAAATAATTAAAGCCTTTATATAAAGAAAAAATAACAAAAATCATAAATTAAAAGAATAAAAATTGAAACTGAAATACCAAAAACAAACAGGGTTAACTTCAAAAATTTTTTGGAAGAAAGAGAAAAGAAAAAGAAAAAAAGCTCATTAACGATAAACGATCTCACACTTCCACCTACATGTGCCATATCATTAGAAAAAAAACACTAACACACTTTAAAAACCATCATAGACAATGACATTTGATGGTTGTATAATGCTACACGCATCATTTGAAAGGCATATGCAACAATCTACGTGCACATATTAACAATGTTTTTTTATTAATATTTTATTTATGCTAAAATATCAAATTGCTCCAAATTCAATATGAGTATCACATAAAAATCAAGAGAAAAAAACTAAAATACCCTGCAAGGAAGTTTTAAATTTTTTTTTATTATAAAGGCATTTAAATAGTTTAACTATGCTTAAAAAGCCAAAAAACTAAATTAAATCTTATTTAATGTGAGTATTACAAAAGAACTAAGAGTAAAGAAACCAAAAGGCCATTGTAATGAAGTTTTAATTCTCTTGATTTCAAGAGTTCAATAATTCAACTATGCTTAAAAAATAAAAATGTCAATAAAGCGCTAAGACACCGGTTCATTATTTTTGTTATTTTAGTTATTATAATGTTTCTAAATAATATAAAAAAACCATTATGACCTCAAATAATTTGTCAATGACATGTATGTCCTATTAAAAAGATTATTTTACCCCTCGTTGGTAGTTAAATGAATGATTTATATAAGAGTAAACTAGGGTTTTTATTGTGGATTACTAGAGTAAAAACTCCATACAATTTAGAGTTTCTACTAGATATTTGACTCACACTTTACAGTGTGTTATTTTTTTTTTCAACATAAAAAATTATATACACAGATGTTTCTGTCAATTAAAAAAATTTCCAAGTGAAAATAAAGAAGTTTATGGATACATGTAATAAAATATATTAAGAATTATGTGTGTTGATAAATAAATATAAAGTTTATAAACAATAAGTAAAAATAAAACTACAAAATCAAGAGACAGGTATAGATCAAAATATTCAATTTTACAAGACAAGATATTTTTCCGATTGTATTCACTAAATTTATTTATTAAAATAATTTTTTTATTCAATCAAACAATAATAAAAAAAAAGATACATACTTTAAATTGATTGAAAAAAATTAAAAAAAAATGAAAAGCTATACAAATTAGAAATATTATCTGAAAATAAATAATTTTTATTTTAAAAAATAAAATTTATCTATACAAAATATAAAAAAATTATATATAGATGAATAAAAAAAACCTCTTTAAAAATTAAAAACATACAAAATAACCAAAAAGTAATTATTATTTAAAAGAAGCTTTCTAAACAAAATAAAAAAGAGAATGAATATTAATTTAAATATAAATAAAAAATAATTTTTAAAAAATATAAAAAACACTAATTTTAAAAATTTTGTTAGGCCAACCCCCTAGTCTATTTTGTTAAGGCTTGCATCACTAGTTTTTTTTTTTTTTTAACCCCAATTGTTTTTGAAAAGAAAAATCAGATGATGCATTATATGTATTTTCTAGTGGCTAAAAAAAAACTGACAATCTTTTCAAAAAAGAGAGAGAGAGAGAGAGAGAGAGAGAGAGAGAGCAGAATTTCAATCCATTTTCTTACCAAAACACCTCCAAAATACGGCAATATTGGAGCCCTTTCCTCCTCTGCTTAGTGGTTACCACCACCAGGAATGAGCATCTACTTCGAGTTAATAGTTCTCATTCCCTTTTGCATACGAGTTCAGTTCTGACATTGACTCGTTTATCTTCAGGCAAGCAAAGCCACTGTGCTCAGTTTTTTCTGGACATTGAGAGTTGAATGAGGTTCGGATGTTCATGTATTTAATTGTGACACCTGAGTTCATCGAGTCTGAATTGACCCAAGGCAAGATTTTGTCGAAGCAAGGCATGAGAATGACACTGATTAGAATTTTAGAAAAAAATATTTTGTAGACAAAATTATCTAATCTCATGTAATTTTTTTAATTTTGAAAATAACAGTTCTTTTATTAGCAACATGATTTATTAAATAAAAATAAATAAAAATTAAAAAAAATATTTGTAAAACTTATAAGGACTTAAATTAAAGATTTTTTTCTTTTTTTATTACAAATTCCCTTTCCTGTTTCATAATTTTGTTGAAGAATTTTTTATTTATTAGAAACATAGTTTTTTAATAATAGAAACTTATTATGATGATGAAACCAAGTTTGAATAAAAATTATAAAACTCATGAATAAATAATTTATACACGCTTGTATGGATACATTTAGGAATAATAAGATTGGTAACATTATATAAATATTTATAATAAAAAAAATAATATATATACACACACGTGAATGGAAAACTTGCCAAGGTTAAAAATAGCAATAAAAAATAAAGATAAAATTTGATATACAAATATAATAAAGAGGGATGTATTAATTCTAAAAATTATCTATAATAAAAATAAATAGTAATAAAAAAACAAAAACCCAATCTAAAGTGAAAAGGAATTATGGAGGATGAAATAAAAAAAAAAAACTCAAGTCTATAAATCAATTAAAAAATTCAATTAAAAAAATATGGATTAAATTAATTAAAATTAAAAAATCAATTAAAAAATATAAACCAAATCTAAAAAAAAAAAGGGTTATTATATAATGAATGATGTGCAATCAAACACAAAAGCCAAATAAAAATGAGAAAAAAAGAAGAAGTCAATCATCACCAAATCACTTGTAATTAAACGACATTCGCTGCCTAGAAAGGTTTGCTTCCCGATACTAGTTTTTCACCCCTGTAAGCCAACACATTCACCACCCGAAGATGGTATGGTGCGTTCAATAAACACGCTAGTAGCTTTTCTTTTTGCTTATTATTTTTTATTAATTAAATTATCAAATCACTCCTAAAACCATATGGGTATTGCAAAAAATACCAATGTAAAATAATTAATATGCCCCTAAAATCAAGCCTAAGAATTTTTTATTAATTAAATTATCAAATCACTCCTAAAACAATATGGCGAAAGGAATTGTTTAAAAAACCTTAGGCCAAAGTTTTTTTTATTTAATGTGTTTTCTTTTAAAAGTAACTAAATAATTTAATTATTTAAAAAAAAAACCGAGATGCTCAAACTTCTAGAATGATAATAAATAGACCTCACAACAAAAAGACTTTTTTTTACCTTCAATACCAGACCAGTTCTTTATTTTTTTTAGTGAAGAGCAAAATCTTAATTTAGTTATTATAATTCATCGTAAATGAAGGCAAGTGTGCAATATTTTTTCCACTGAAATAGGTTCTGTTAATTTTGATCCGGAAAACTGGTGAAGCCTGATTTTAGTTCATTGGTAATCACGTTCAGTTACTGCAGAAGAGCTTTTCAAGCAAAAATTCTGATATTGGCAACAAATCTTTTCAATAACCTGGGTTCAGCCACACAAGAAACAGGAATTGCTTTCTTTCTGCCTTTGCTCTCCGACTTTACTGAAGCTAGCACAGCATGGATTTGATTCACAAGGTCATGAACATTGTACTTCCTCCTATAACATTGACACTGCTACTTCTCTTCTTGCCGTCGTTTCTTGTTTTCAAGTTTATAAGTTGCATTAAAAGATATATAACTAGTGAAAAGGTGGCTGGAAAAGTAGTTCTAATCACTGGGGCATCTTCAGGCATTGGCGAGGTTGGTATGCATTCTGTGCACAGATCTAAATGTCCATCATATTATGCAGACCTAGAACCCCGCACTCCCAAACGAAAACGTTGGAAACTTGTTACCATTGTAACATACTAATGCTCTTAATTGTATTTTGTGATTTTTGAAGTATCTTGCATATGAGTATGCTAGGAGAGGAGCATGTTTAGCCCTTGCTGCCAGAAGAGAGGAGCGTCTTCGAGCAGTTTCTGATAAAGCGCGGATGCTGGGATCACCGGATGCTATAGTCATCTCTACTGACATTTCAAAGGTTGAAGACTGCGAGCGGTTTATTACTGAGGCAGTGAATCATTTTGGCCGATGTAAGGAGCTTCTTTCAATTTCAATTTTTTTCTTTTTTCAAAAAAGTTGATTTACAATGACTCGCGGGGTTTATACAATAGTGGATCATCTGGTGAACAATGCTGGTATTATTCAAATTGACATGTTTGAGCATTGCAAGCAAATCTCGGATTGTGCAATACTTATGGTATGTTCTTGGTATTACTTACCTACTTAAAATTACAAAATTCATCTTTCAACATTTTGCGTTGCCAGAAAATTTTCTGAGGATCCGTTTTGGTGCCTTGCAGAATATAAATTTCTGGGGTTCTGTATATGTCACTCGTTTCGCTATTCCACACCTGAGAAAAAGCAAAGGGAGGATCGTAGGGATTTCTTCAATTGCTGGATGGTGCTCAGTACCGAAGATGAGCTTCTACTGTGTAAGACTTGCCCTTAATATATGCTACACTCAGCCAGTGAAACAGTCATTTATAGAGTAACTTATCAATATTATAATTGCTTCAGGCAAGCAAGGCAGCCATAACAAGTTTTTATGAGACACTAGCTGCTGAATTTGGTCCGGATATTGGAATAACAATAGTCACTCCTGGTGTAGTTGAGTCAGAAATGACCCAAGGTGATTTTATATCAAAGGTATATCTGAAGGAACTAAATCGTGAAACGACAGATGAATGTTCCTCTGTTTACTTATCAGTTCTTGCGTGATTTTTTTTGGGTGAATGAATTTTACTCTGATTTTAATTGATTATGTGATATAAATGATGGTAGAAATATCATGTTCATCATCTATTAAATTGTTACATGCTCACTGACTTCACTTACAGACTTCTATGGTGAAAAGGCCTAGTCAAATGCTAGTATTTGATCTGTAAATCATGTCTCGTCTCGTCAATTTTTGTTGGAAAATACTTTTCAATACATGTTTTCACCTAAATTCGTCCATGCAAGATGATTCTTCAACAGTTTTTTTAAATGTAATATTCTGCAGGCTCAAATGGACTTTGTCCCGGCTGAGTCAACTGAAAGGTGTGCTGAAGCAATCGTAAACAGTGCTTGCCGAGGAGACAGGTACTTGGTAGAGCCGTCTTGGACAAGGATGTCGTTTCTGCTGAAGGTCCTTTGTCCTGAAGTGATGGAGTGGTACTTGCACTGGGTATTGGCAGCTAGGACTTCGAAGAAAAGTGACTAGCATGAACATCTGTGGTCTCAGTTCACAGGCAAAGAAATTTGTCTTGCTCGTTTCAGCTTTAATTCAATTCAATTTTGAGATCTCAAGCAGACTGGTTTTCTGTTTCATGTTTTTCTTTCTCCTAAGAAAATGCAGAGCTTTGCCGCTGTAGTAAAATAAAGGCATTGCTAGTTCATTCTGCAGCTAGAATATGATCATTTTGGAGCTGCAATTCTCAGTTCCTGCTGTCATTTCCTTAATCAGCAAGCTGAGAGTGTCCATTTTTATTGATTCAATTTTGTTGGTCCTTGGTTATTAACCATGCTCTAGTAAGTTCACTTCAAGAATGAGTTGCCTAAATCTCATCTCCAAATTAGTTGGTGTCCGTTCTAATTTTTTTTAGCATGAATCAGAAAGCCAGTCAGCATTACATGTAACAAAAATTCAAAGCCAGCTTCAACCTTCAGCATATTTCATTAGTGCCGATTGTGATTGCATGCTTCCGGACTGGAGAAATATTGTAGATTATTAGGAAAAATAAGAGCTTGATCAAGATCCAGACATATCTTGCTGGTGTTGCAGACATAAATTTCAATACCTAAAAATTAAACCAGCAAATGTATACAAATATTTTATTTTATTAAAATATATAACTATATATAATCCTTATTTAAAATATTCTCAAAACTAGAAGATTTGATGATTTAATACTTTTAAAAATATTTTTAATTTGTCTTTAAAAATATTATTGAAAAACTTTTATAAAATAATTAAAATTTTAAGTTTTGTTACTTTTAAATTTAATGAAGAAGACTTGGGAGTTTTTGAAAGAGTTTTTATGGTTAAAAAACTTCTCTCTAAGAAAATCTTGTATCTCCAAATTATTTTTTTTTCATGTCTATAATAAAGCTATTTATTTATAGAGATTTGTACGAGCATTTAAATATTTTTTATCAATCTTATATGATATTATTTTATTATTTAATTTTTATTTATGAAATCTTGTATTTAAAACGAAATATCTTAATTATTATCTCATCCCTTATATCAATTACATTAACTAAAAAAACCTTGTGTCTTCAAATTATTATTATTTTTATTAATATGAGTATTTTGATCAGCTTACGTGTATCTCAATTAATTTTATGAGCTTTAAAATTAATAATTATATAAGTATTTAATAGCCATTATATTAATAACTACAAGATTCAATCTTAAAATTATAAAAAAATAATTTTTTTAATTTCAAACTCTTATTATTATACCAGCTACTGTATGCTTATTCTCTCCTATTTTCATTAAAGTTTTTGTTTCACACATGAGCTTGCAAAGCTGCACTCACTTGATTAAGGTCATCATACTGCACAGTAAGGGGTGAGGCTGAGGCAGGAATGACACGCGGGGGTTTGTTACTGGGCAAGGCCTACCAAGGACAGGGCTGTCCTTTTCTTTCGCCCGTCATTAAGTAACTAAATAGTACCCCTTCCAAATCTAATATTGAGTTCGTTGCGGCTAGATGTTATCAACCACATATCGAGTTAGTTTAGGCGAGTTGGGACAGCAGGTTAGGTCGGCTGGCCAGTTATAAAGAAGATTGCGATGCATGGCATGCTGCTCGCTCTAGCTAGTGATCCGTATATATGAAAATGTTTATTAAAATTAACCATGCATATACGTTGACTTATTCATCGAGACAGGAATATAAACATGCTCTCTTGTTCCCTTCCAGCCAGGGGCGGAGGAGCATAGAAGACTAAGGGGGGCTGTAGCCGAGATAAAAAAATAAATCTTAAAAAAATATAATATTTTAACTTATAATTATAAGTATAGTATTTTTATTTATTTTTTTTCAAATTCGGATATGTAAATATTTCCTTTGCATTATTTCTTATTAGCTTCGTACCTTTTCATTGGGCTTCTTAACCTTTAACATCTCATTAATTTCTCTTCTTACTCAATGAATAAATTTCTAGGATTTTCTATTCCGGATAAAAGAACCCATTTTATATATCCCAATTTATATGTATTTGATTCATAGAAAAACATTAAAAAATTTAATTTTAAAAATAAAATTAAAAAAATAAGTTTGGAAATGTGGTTATAATTATTTTTTAAAGTGTTTTTTATGCTGAAATATATCAAAATAATGTTTTTTTATTTTTTTAAAATTATTTTTGAAATCAACGTATCTAAATGATTCAAAATATACCAAAAAAATTAATTTTTATTGCACCGCGTTCCCAAATGCTTTCTACTCTTTAGCCCCCATCTTATGATAGCAAATAAATACTCAATCAACCATGAGGAGTGTAACCTAATTGGTCAGGCTCTAGGTTTGCTCTCTAAAAATTACTAGTTCGAATCCCACAAATCTTAAGACTACTAAAGATTTATATAGTCCTTAACTTCAGGACCCGTAGGATTAGTCGAGATATATATAAACTGATCCAGATATTCACATTAATAAAAATAAATAAATAAATACTCAAGCGAACTTCATGATATTTCACACACTTACCATATCTTTTATCACCTGCTTAATTTCCATTAACATGGAGTATGGTTTCTTAGCTTGTCCTTTGATTTATAATACAAAAATTTTCATAATGAATACATTATTAGTAAAGTGATAAAAAACAATCAGAGTGTCTATTTAATAATGAATATTGAAAAACAATTTATGTTTATTTGTTCGTAGCCCAGGATAAAAAAGATTCCTAGCTCCGCCCTTGCTTCCAGCAGGGAAATATTAACAATTCTGCTTCTCCATACTGCTGCAAAGCTATGGATATGACTAGAAAGTCAATGAATATTTTACTTCCTCCTATAGCACTCATTGTGCTTCTTCTAATCTTGCCACCATATCTTGTTATCAAGTTTCTTGGTCTCATAAAAGGATTTACTGCATACAGCGAAGACGTGACGGGAAAAGTAGTACTTATAACTGGAGCATCTTCGATCAAAGTTTATTTCTGTTATACCCGACCTACGTTGTGCAATAACATACATATTGATTTTTTTATTGTTTTTAAGCAAATTGCATACCAATATGCAATTGGAGAGGAGCTCGTTTAGCACTCGTTGCTAGAAGAGAAGATCGTCTTCGAGGAGTTGCAAGTGAAGCCAGGAAGATGGGTTCGCCAGATGTTTCCAAGGTTGAAGATTGCAGAAGATTTGTTGATGAGGCAATAAGACATTTTGGACAGCGTAAGTAGAGTTTCCTTTCAATTTTTGAATATTGCCTTAGAAGAAAAACTTGAGATCCATTTAATTCGTATTATATCCTGTGTTGATGCATTGGCTACAAATGCTGCAGTGGATCATCTGGTGAATAATGCTGGGATTCTTCGTGTTTGCTTGTTAGAAGAAGCTACCAACATATCTGATTTGAATTCTGTAGTGGTACATGATTGAAGATGATCTTCACATATCTCTCTTTTTATTAAGTTTTATTTATTATTATTAAATCATATTTGTTTTGACTTATGGAACTAATAAAAGCATCTTGATAACCGGATCAACATGTCAACAAGTAAACTGATTTTCATTAAAACACAACATCACACTCTTTTCTTTTTTTTTGTTGAATTGGTTGGGTTTGGTCCTGACGATTAGATTAAATGAGTTTGATAATATTTTATCCGATTTAAATAGAAATATGACTTGTGATCTTATATTTTTTATATTAACCTATTAAACCGGAACAGATTTAATAATGATTTAAATTATTAACGTACACAACTATATGGATTGTGAAAAAGAATAATATGAGTATCATATATAATTTGTTAAAGTTGCCTGTCAGATGAAGAGAATTCACGTTCGATGTATTTTGTTGGACATAAATTTATGGGGTTCAGTGTATGGCACTTGTTTTGCAGTTCCATACCAATGAAAAAGTCGAGGGAAAATTATTGTCATCTCTTCAGCTGCTGGACGTTTCCATAGTCCGAAGAGCAAGCATATACGGTGTAAGAAACATTCTGAGTGAACAGATTTAAATCTTGAGTCTTCCATTTACTTTGAGCAACTGATCAGTTTGTGTGTCTAATATGCCTTCAGGCTAGCAAAGCAGCCTTAATAAGCCTGTATGAATCACTGAGGATTGAATTTGGTTCAGATATTGGAATAACAATTGTGAATCCTGGGCTTGTGAAGTCAGAAATTACCGCAGGCGAGCTACGATCAAAGGTCGCTAGGCTACTCTCAGAGATAAGATATCACTATCTAATTTATTACAATAATTATATATATCTTGTTTGCTATGAACCGCTTAATTTGCAGTTGGAGCAATATTATTGCTTTCGATTTGGTACTAGTTTACACAGATTGAATTTCCCCCCTTCTGTGTTCTCATTGTTTCTTAATTTCATTTTGTCAGGTTAAAATAGAAAGCATCCCAATTGAATCAACAGAGGATTGTGCTAAAGCAATTGTGGACAGCGCTTGCCGTGGAGACAGGCACTTGGTGGAGCCATCATGGGTAGGGATAGGTTTCCTGTTCAAGGTGCTCTGTCCTAAAGTCCCATGGAATGATGTGCCCACTGGCTATTCTCCTCCGCACCTAGGAATTTCAAGAAGGCTGCATAGGAGAGGCCTACTTCCAGTATGCATGAGAAAATAAAAGAGTTGATTGTTATAACATCTCCAAAAAGAATCAAGTTGATTGTTATTCGGTACGAGATCAAGTTTTATTAACCTCCACAAAAAGCATGGACCTTACATATTAAAAATTTTCATGTCTTTAATGTACGCACAGGCCACGACCCATAAAGTACACAAGACTTTCGTCGGCAAAGTATTGCGGCACCAACCATTAGATTAGCAACTCACAGATATGAAATGTTGGGCAGTGATTGGTGAATGAAGCTCGAATTGATCGTCTACACGTGGAAGAAACTCTTGCAAATTTGGACGGTGTGCCCATCTCCAATTGGTTGAGACTCGCTAATCTTGGAGGAAAGAGGCTAACGCTAGTATTTGGTGGATGCAGAAGTCAGAACACAACACTAAATTGTAATAGCATGATCAATCACTTCAATTTTAAAGGTATATCTTCAGGATTGTTGCGGTCTCAATGATTTATAAAATGCTCTTCATGTTAATGGGGAATCATTCTAGACTGGATTTCTCGCTATAAATGAACAGGGTGTGTTTGTCCTTTTCAAGACAACAAAATTCAGTAACCTAGCCACAAGAGTAGCGTGGGCAAATAGTGAGAGGAAATTCAGGCAAGTTCTCAAATGGAAGGCAGAGTGAAGTTGGCTTCAGTTTTTGTGGTCCTTGTGGTGCTAGGGTTCTTGGTTTTGGGTCCAAAATCTGTGGAGTGTGCATTTAGCATCCAACTAAACCCATGCACGCTTTCACAGTGCATTGCCGATTGCAAAAAAGCCTTGCAGGAAAAGTTCCTCAGCGCAACCTGCACAACTGGGTCTCAGGGGAAATTCTGCATTTGCCTAGGGTGAAATTATCCACACACAAAAGCCAGTTCCGAATATCAAACTTAAAAGGTGAAGTTGTTGCCTCGCCCAGCTACCTAAATTATTAATAGATACAAGCTATGCAAGATTGTGTAACAAGCTATGCAAGATTGTGTAATCTTACTTCATTCTTCTAGCTAATAAGAGCTTGTAAGTTGTCCCTTAAATTAATCTGAAAAGCAGTGCTCTTTTTGAGCATTATCACTAGCAATCGTTAATATTACAAGGTCAGTAATCTTGTAAACTAGTACCGCTATGTCCTGTTTTCCGGTGTGAAGGCTTGTGGCTTGGCAACCAGCCCCTAAAATCCATCAGAGCTCCAATAATGAGCCCACTAAAACCTGAATAAATCCTTCTAATTAATCATTTTGGAAACTAGAGCAACATTCCAGCTGTGCAAGACATGGTTGTGAATCTGGAATTCATTTCATTAGGTTGCCGGTCTTTAACACTTTCTCGGCTCCTGATGAGATGAGGACATATGGCAACAAACTTCTCGGCTAAGATTTAGAAGCTAGCTGAGAAATCTGTGCAAAAATAACTTACAGCTCACTCTAGCAAGGCAGGGAATTTAGCAATGGCCCGAGGCAAAATGTAATGGAAAAATGTGTGCTCAATCACTTTTTGCATCAATTCTTAGTTGCTGGTAAAGTGGAGTCACCCTGTGGATGATATCGAACTCTTTTTCAATCTCGAGAGAGTGTCAAAAAGGCATGCAAAACGAGCAATAAAAACCATATCCAACCTGCACATAATACTGTCCAAGGATTTAAACAGTCAACTTCCACTACAAACCACCCATGTCAAATCCAACTCTTGATTAGAAGGGTATCAAGACAGTTCCCTCTGTCCTCATTAAGGCCTTTAGATTTAAGCATTCAACCAACTCTAGTGCACCTCTTAATGACCGACTCTTAACTAAGAAAATGTACTCCTGACAGCTAGAGACAACTTCCCAATTTGGTAGATGGTATTTTAGCTCTCACGGTTTGCTAAGCATCAACTCCATTGTGAATGTTGCAGTCCAAAGTGGAGGTCTGCATCTTGAAGTCTCACCATAGATAATTAGTCTTCTCTGTTTCTGCAATTAACTCCATTGCTTTTAAGAAATCACGTTTTTGAGGTCAGATGCTGCCCCAGATTTCTTGCCACTCAAATTAGATTGTGTTTGGTTTTAGGTGAACAGGGGATCAAATGCTTGTGTGTTAACATTTTTTTTCTTTCAATCATGCTTGATTTTAGGTTAATAAAATGTTGTAGGAGCATGACGTTTCTTTGGGAATACTGTTGAAATTGCGTGTATTTCTAGAAAATTTAATTTTTTTATATTTTTTAATTGTTATAATGTATTAATATTAAAAATAATTTTTTTTATAAAAAAAAAAAAAAACAATATCTAACACTATCTCAGTCACCTGAAAAAGCAAGAGAGAACTAATAAAGTGGATTAACGTGCAATTCTAGAAGAAGGTGGATTCATTCACATGCTTCCAAAAGTATTCTAAGGACCCTCGTGAATAAAAGAAAGAAAGTAGATGGCTAGTTACGGAGACATCCCTTTCATCAAATCTAACGAAACTTCGTGATAAATCATTAAAGATACATTTCAATACTCAAGCATTCCTTAAAAAATATCTCAAGTTTTTTTAAGAAAAAAAATAATTTTCTTCTTTATATACAATATTTATCTATTCTAAAATTCTAAAAAATAATTTTCAGTTTTCTGAATTTATCTTGAGTTTGAAAAATATACTTTAGAGCTTCTTTACGAATTTCTTTTTTTTTTTTAATAAAAAACACGTGAACAATAAAAAATATTTTTTTATTTACACACATTTTTTAACAATGTAAATAATTAAATTTATTGTTTTATATTTTTCATATTTATTTAGTGTTATAAATTTATTTTTTATTATAAAATACAATTTAAGGATTTTCTTGTTTTTGAGTTAACAATATAAAATAATTCTTAGTGTGAATGAAATAAAATTAAGATTTTATGGTTAGATTATTAAAAATAAAATATGATGTTAAAATTATTATTATTATAAATTATGGTCTTGATTTTTATGAGAAAACAGTTGCAGTTTTTATTTACTTTCTTGTGAAAGGATAGATTTTGGTTTTTAGAAAAACGGATGATGAATTTTTTGTCTTTCATTAGAAAATAATAATATTGTTTCACTAATCACATCCTAATTATTATGTACCATTGATTTCTAATAAAATAAAAAGAAATAAAACATATCACCATGTTTGTTTTTATATTTTAAAAATATTTTAGAAAAAATATAAAAAAAAAATTTAATTAATATTTTTTAGTATTTTTAAATGATATTAAAAATAATTTTAAAAAATAAAAAATATTATTTTAGTATATTTTTAAATTAAAATTTTTTTAAAAACAACTGAAAAATTGATGGATTTATCATCACACAAGTATCAGTGCTGAATGTTGCCACGTTCATTGTTTCTCTATCACTCTACTTGCCATCGCAGCTTTGTATATCTTTGCACGGATCAAAGATATGTACTCAGTCAATTCAACATGTCGTTGTTTCATCTTTGCTTCTGGTGCTTGGTCTTCTTCGTACCTTGAATTTCTTATCCTTATCCACTGTCTGAAAACACTCCTCTCAAGTGTGGCCGTTTAGAAATCACCATTTTTTAAAAAATAATTTGGATATTTGTTGGATATTCTTGGAGTTCCAGATTTGCTATAGACCCTTGCCATTGGCCATTGCCGAATATTGAATCAGAATTTATTACAAAGGCAATGGAAAACTGATCAAATATATGTTGTCTTCTTCTTCTTTTTTTCTCCTTACCTGGAATTGTCAAATGTGAACGTAGCGTAAGAACTTTCTTACTTGTTATTTCAATGGACAGTAAATCAACTCTTAACTTGCCAAAGCTGTAACGAGACAACATTTCAAAGAATGCCAAGCCACGTGCTATATCCTAAAGTCCATCAATGATAGAGAAATTGAATCCAAGAAAAAGACAACTCCCAGGAATCCAAGAAATTTCTTCTCTCCCTCGTTTTATAGATGGCAACCTTAACTGTTCTTTTCACGTAACCAACCTTCGGGTTTCTTCTTTCTATAAATGGAGTATTCTTTCGGGTTTCTGTCTATAAATGGCCTCAACACTCCACTGTGTTTCTCACTGGGGATTTATTAATTAGGCACCGTGAGAGTTCTGGTGGCTTCTTATTCAATTCCTAATAAAGGTCAAGGAAACCCAGAAATGGATGACCGTGATGGTGATGATGATGCATATGCGAAGCTTGTAAGGAGAATGAACTCTCCAAGGTATTTCATACCTCTCCCATCTGTTGATTGGTAGGAGAGAGTACAGTGATTTTTTTATTACATGACCCTAGCTTCCGATGTGGTTTCAGAGTTGTGATTGAAAATGATGTTTGTGAGCATGCCACAGTCATTCAGGTAATTAAATTACCTTGAACTTTCAATAATGCAAGAATGTTTATCCATCTAGGATTTCTTTCATGTTTTTTGTTATCCACTTGTTTCTTATCCATAGTCTTAATTTTTATTTTTATCTTTCTTTATTTAGGTGGATACTGTCTACAGGCAAGGTACACTACTTGAAGTTGTTCAAGCTCTCGCGGACCTAAACCTTGTAATAACAAAAGCGTACATGTCTTCTGATGGAGGGTGGTTCATGAATGGTACAGTTAATTGAAAACTCTTCTCAAATAAACGATACCCTCTTTCTTCCTTCAATTTGACTGTTGAGTTCGATTTTCAGTGTTTCATGTGACTGATGATGGTGGAAACAAAATTAGAGATGAAGGCATTCTCAATTGCGTAGAGAAGGTAATTATTTTCTCGCTTATTCTCTCTGTCATATCAAAATCTTTTTTTGTAACTGTTTTGCTTGCTTTTACAGGCTCTTGAGACTGATGCATATGCGGTTACATCAATGGGGAAGATGCTTCTTTCTAAAGAGCATACTTTAATTGAACTGACCGGCACTGACCGGCCTGGTTTGCTGTCAGAAGTATGTGCAGTGCTGACTGACCTGAGTTGCAATGTCGTCAATGCGGAGATTTGGGCACACAATGCTAGAGCAGCAGCAGTCATACACGTTACAGACCAGTCAACTGGAACTGCAAT